GTAGTAAATTAATGTTCGTTCAGAGTAATTCTTCGAAAGGCTCGAGTTTTAGAGTTGTGCTCAGAAAATCCCAGAATAAACAGATGAAGTATAGGGATAAATACTTGACGTGGCAGATCTCCAAACTAGACAGCAGGCTCGTCGCCTTATTTTTACAAGGGTATGAGAGCCTTTGGAAGAGACTAGATAGAATAAATTCAGCAAAATTTATCGGGTTTGCGATAACCAAAATGACCGAACTAAGAATAAAATCAGTATCATTAAAATATGGACCAAGAAACACAAAGATAAAAATCAATGCAATAGGAGGCATTTGCTATTAGAACGTGCAAATACGTACTGAAGCAGTTGTGCCATGGCCAGACGGTCCGCGACGAGAAGTACTACCTTGATGAGGACTAGGAGTGGCCTCGGATACAACAACCTTTGGATTATCAGAGAGGTGGAGGTCAATAAGATTATCGACGAGTGTTTTATCATTGCGTCTATGTTGCTGCTGAGATATGATTTGATGGCTTCCAGTCGGTTGACGTGCATTAGTTGACTGATGGTGATGATAGCCACCAAAAGACGAGGTTGTTTCGTCGTTCAGAGCTGTGGTGATTGGTGGTGATGCCTTGCTGGCTTGGTGAATGAAAGCAGGAGAGGCAGAAAGCTGACGGTCACTAGCAATAGATTGATGGGATGAACCTATAAGATAATTTAAGGTAATGGATAATGATGTCATAATCTTCAAACAAAAGAATAAAATAAATACTAACACCGGAGTCACGTGATTCAATTATAGACAGCCTGTACCCAGACATCCAGATATGCGTATGAAGTGCCAACATTGACAGAACAAATAAGACAAATTAATCTAGCAAAAATCGGTCAATTGTCCAAGAATGCAAGACTTATTGTGAAGGAAATTTAAAGAACGCTTCCAATTCATGGGGACTTATTGGCATATGTTGGAATGTGATCGGTTTTAATAGCGAATGCAACTTTGTATAATCGTCAATCCCACAAAAAAAAAACCTACCCTTCCTTAAAATTAATGTCTTCCCTGTGACCTATGGGGATTCGTGAATGATTTAGCAGCAAATGTGTCGATACCATACATTGTATCACCCGGGATATGACATGCAAGGTAATACGAAATTCAGTGGAAACGTGAGGCCTATTCATATAATTATGAAGAAAACGCAACGACATGATCCTTGATCATGTTAAACGATATATATATATATATATGGTCAATAAACCTGAAGGAAT